TCAACGTTATGCACACTAAGTTCTTTGCAATATAAAGCCCATATATTTTGCGAGTGAGGTGATGCTTACGTGATGCAAATAAAAAATCACACCTTGTAAGTACGAAGAAAAGCTTCTTCTTCATCGTTGTTTAAGATGCTGTTGACAATTGAAAATAGTTGCTCGACCAGACAATCTTGTCTAACATCGTCATTCTAAAAAGATGATTAGAATTGCTTCATTAATTTTTCTTTACTACTTGAATACAATCTGGTGTCCTATAATTTGGACGAAATGCGCCAAGCCGTGTTTCGAATGTGTGTACTTTTGAGTTATTTTAAATTTTTACCTGATTTCATTACTGCATATTTTTACATTGCATAGAAGCCAGCCAATTCGTGAATTCGTGAATAAGAAAGACATGGAGATTGTGATATAATGATCACACAAGCTTCTCCGCCACCGACCTTCCAGATAATCTTGTATAGCTTTCCGTCGCTTCCTTTGACTCTAGTCACTTTTGGTGCCGATATTCCATCAGCCTGTATGCACTCCCTTTCTATGGATTCCCATTTGATCAAATCATCGCCAGAATAATCTCTTGGGAAACAGATCTGACACAGAACAACCTGGAACATTGAACGCGCTGCCAGAAAAAAAGAACCCACCTTCTGCTCAACAATCGGCAGCGGCACACGTCTCAGAATCTTAGCTTGCCTCAGAATCGAAACATTCTCTTGCATGTCGTATACAGCTGTAAAAACCTATGGCTGGTAGTTTAACGATAGCTTTCAAAGCCAAATGAGCCTCTATTAGATTACTGAGGCTAAATGCAGCCTAAATGCAAGTACGCATACTAAAAGACCATTTTACTTTCTTGTACAAAAAGAGATTAGAACTCTACAACGAGAAAAGAAGTTGGCAAGAGGTCAAGAAGTAATGCAAAACAACGTTCGGAGTTGAATGTGTGCCAGTGCAGTGTCAGCGCTGTGCCGGAACTCACCCACATGAACGCGCCTCGTATTGGTCGATCATTCCAGCACGGCGCTGGCACGGTGCCGACGCCAAGTGACTCGGACACAGGCTAAGTAAAAATTTCCCGTTTCCAATTTTCAAAAACTGTTTTCTCAAAACGGCAAAGGTGGTTTGTTTTCCCACTTGCCTGTCCGCGTTCAGGAAAAAATGTTATTCATATGTTAGTTGCTAAATTACACATTC